ACTGAGTTAAACTGCTGTAAAAACACATCAGATCACATTTTTTCGCATAAATCTGTTAATCAACCTCAGTCCTGATCAAAACTACTAGTTTGTTTAGAAAATTGCAGGATTTTAACTCTTTAATTGCCAAATTCATAAATGATGTCACTGATTTGGTGAAAAAAACACACACAAAATGACGTGTTTTCAATATAAAAAGTAGTCGTGGACTGGATTTTTTTTTCTCTTTTATCACAGTTTTGGACATGTAAACAATTAGTAACAACATTGACTTTACTGCATTGTTAGTTTTTCATATTTCTCTCTAATTTACAGTTGGTGGCTGTTTTTGCCACCATTGACTTCCATTATAAGCACATTTGATGGTGCATAAATGCGCAGTCTTTGTTTTCAGTTACTCCATGTAGTTCTGAGAGCTGAGATGCAAATGTAGATTTTCTCAGACACATCAAGGTGTGTAAAGATCACTCGCACACATTCACATACACACACTTTAATTTGCGTTTATACTCCATTTAAAAACTAAGCTTTTTTTTTTGCACAGGCCTATCTAAAGGGTTAATGATGCCAACTGATGATCAACAGTAAAAATTACACATTTGACCTCTCGCCAACAGGGAAAACCACCAACAATCAGACTTTGTAATTAAAAAACTATGGTTATAATGGAAGACAATGGGGCAAAAACAGCCACCAATAGTAAATTACAGAGGAATAAAAAAGAAAATCAATCAAAAACAAAGCATTAAAGCCAATGTTGTTTCACATGTTCAAGACTGTGATTACATGTTAAAAGAAAAACCAGTCCACGACTACTTTTTATATTAAAAATACGTCATTTTGTGTGTTTTTCACCAAATCAGTGACATTATTCATGAATTTGTCAACTAAAGAGGTAAAATCCTGTAATTTTCTAAACAATTTAGTAGTTTTGATCAGGATTAATGTTTGATTTTTGCAAAAAAACAAACAAACTGAAAATAAATGAATGATGCATTTTGAGTTTAATTAATTGGATGTTTTCATCCTGAACATAACAAAATGGCAGCAAATTTACCCAGAGTTTATCATTGAGTTTAAACATTTTTATTTTTTTTTACATTTTCTCAAAACGTGTGTCAAAATAAGATTTTTATTTTTTTTTTAGCAAAAATCATTCTGCTAGCTGAAACAGAGAGAAAGTTATAGCCAAATTAAGACACAAAATCACCCCAGAGTGGACAAACACATCCCTAACAGTACATAAGGGTTAAGAGTTAAATAGATCATCTAAACATTTACGAAAAATGATAAATAAAAAAACTTATCATCATCTAACCCTAGAAAAAAAAACCTGTTTGAGGTTGTGTCTTCTGTGGAACGCACAAAAAACAGCCATCGGCTTCCATCGTATTGTTGTTCCTACTCTGGGACTCAACGGCTGTTTTCCCAACATTTTGAAGTACTTCATAAAAGGTTTGATCCATTTGATTGTGAGTAAATAGTGAACTGTCCCTTTAAAAGAACACAAAAAGACGACACAAAATCAATACATGTGGCTCCTGATGATATACTGATGCATTATGAAGCAAAACGACCAATCTGAAAAAACAGAACAGCATTTACTATGCTAAATAATGACCAAATATATCAATGTATGGTCAGGAGATACAGGTATTAATTTAGTTTGACCTATATATGATTTTCTAAACTTTTTAAATTGCCGGTAGCCTTCGATTAGCATTTTATGAAATCACCAAAAAACACAATCTCAGATAAAATTCTTACTTAAAGGGATAGTTCACGCAAAAATCTGAAAGTGTTCTCAAACATTTACAAGTTTTATTCTTCTGTTGAACAATGAAGAAGATATTTTGAAGAAAGCTGAAAACCACTGACGTCCATACACTCTCAGAAATAAGGTACAGGAGCTGTCACTGGGGCAGCACCTTTTCAAAAGGTACATATTTGTACCTGTAGGGTCCAAAATGGCACCTCAAATGTACTATTTAGGTACAGTTGGGCACTGATATGCACCTTTGAGTTACCACTGTGGACTCTTAGGGTACAAATATGTCTCTTTTGAAAAGGTACTGCCCTAGTGGCAGCTCCTGTACCTTTATTTCTGAGAGTGTAGTATTAAAAAAACATACTATGGAAGTCAATGGTTACAGGTTTCTGACATTCTTCAAAATATCTCCTTTTGTGCTTAAAAGAAGAGGTTTGGAACAAGAGAAGGGAAATTATGACAGTTTTGAGTGAAGTATCCTTTTAATGTTGTTCCTGAAGAAGAAGAAAAAAGTCACCAACATCATCTGAGATAGCCTGAGGGTGAGTAAATGAACACTTTTAGGTGAACTCTCCTTTTTAAAGCTGACATCGTCATCTTTGGCCACCCTAATGAGACGTCCCGGGACACCAAACACTGGAATGTTCTAGAAAGTAAGCACAGGATGAATAAATAAAAGGCAACAACAAGCTAAAGGGAAAAGAGTGCACAGGGGACACACTCTTTTTTTTCTTTTACCAATATAGCAAAGCCAAAGCTGTCACCTGTACTACGATATGTACAAACGCGCAAACTTCTCACCCCCTTTTTCATAATAGCAGCAAATGCGTTAGCAGGAATTCAAGCCCCTCTGTCTTCAATCTCATTCACACACACGGAAACACACAACCGTCACCATCGTGAAGAAGCACGACCTGAGCAACACAATACTCCACTCACCGTTCATGCAGGCAGGAAGAAATCATAAACAAAGCAAGAAGTTTGGTACTGCAGTATTTCAGTGTCGACTACGACACTCCACAAACACACCAAAGCCAATTGCACGAAACGGAACGGGCAACATTTCTTATTTCTGCACAACAGATAAGCTCTTTTTTTCCCCACTCCCAGAACGCAGCCTTGAAAGAGCGTTCAGACCCTGCAGGGGCTGATGGGACATTGTGTACAAGCAGCTGGGAAATCTTGAGCGAGCAGACCGGCCACGGCAAGATTACAAATGACCAGCAACAATAAAATGTACAAAAACGCCCACAGGCAACCTCTCAGAAAAGTGCAAAGCTCTCCAATTTATTTAGCAACCGGCGGAGCTTCACGTCACAATCCATCAGTCAGATGGCTTCATGTCCATGCCCGAAAGAAAGAAACTGTATCATACACCCTAGGTTTTTTTTTTTTTGCAGTTTCCTTCCTTAAAACCTTTGTGCTGAATCGGCTTTTATAAACGCACTGTGTTTATTCGCAAGGGCTGCACGTTTTTGCCGTTGGCGTGACTTTGACCGGGGCTGAAGTATGGGAAGAGTTTGGCTGGAAACTTCTCTCTGTACGTGTACAGCCAGGACATGTCGTCAGCGTTGTAGAAAACCAGCAAGCCTTTAGGATAGTCTAAGTAGACGCCCACTTTTTCCAGTTTGCTCTTGACGTTGAGGCGCGTCCAGGGCTCTGTGCATGCGCTGTATTGATTACCGTCATGCATCACGATGCAGTAGAAGCCTCGGCTGGGCTGAATTTGAATGCTGCCCTTGCGGTTGACCGTTTCGTTGGCCACACCAATCATCCACTGGGTTTTTTCGGACACCATTACCTCCCAGTAGTGGACGCCTCCGGAGAAGCCTTCATCGCCCAGAACGGACACCTCCACGTCGAATCGGCGCGGTGAATCCTGCAAGGGCTGTGGGTGCAGGTTGCCATACGCCACGATGGTGCAGTCGTCTGATAAGATGAGCCGCTGGTGAGCAGTGCTGGGGTCCATGGTTAATGCAGCAGGCACTGTGAAGGGCAAGATAAAGGACATGGACATCAGTGCACTAATATTACTACAGTCAACATGCATACATTCAATTTAAAAAACAAATAACAAATTAAAAATGTAAAACAATAAATAAATGATATTATTAAATAAATGAAAAAAAAGAAAAAATATAGATAAATAAATAAAAATATAAATTAATGAATAAGTTAATAAATATAAAAAATAAATATAAAATATAAATATAAATGAATGAAAAAAAATAAATACAAATATTAATTAATGAATAAATAAATTAATAAATAAAATAAATAAAATAAAATAAATAAATAAAAATCTAAATAAATATATAAATTACTGAATTTTATATATATATATTATATATATATATAAAATATTATATTAATTAATATATATATATATAAATTAATGAAAAAATAATTAAATAAAAAATGAATAAATAAAAATATAAATAAATATACAATATAATTATAATTAATTAATAATTTTAATAAGTAAAATAATATATTATTAAAATAAATTAAATGAATAAATGAATTCATAAATAAATAATATATAAATAAAATAAATGAATTATATATATATATATATATTTAAAAAAAAAAAAATATATATATATATATATAAATAAAGAAAAAAAATATAAATGCATGAATGAATGAATAAATACATTAATTAAAAATAAATAAATAAATGAAAATATAAATGAATGAATAATAAATACATAAATAAATAAATGAAATTATGAATGAATGACTTATTAAATAAATAAATACATATATGAATAAAAATATAAATAAATGAAAAATGAATGAATGAATAAATAAATCAATGCATGCACGTATACATAATAAATATATAATACACAATAAATCAAGATTTAAAAGTACATAATTATGAATACATTTAACTATACAAACACACAAATTATAATGCATATAAACTGTAATTAAACATTACATTACAATAATATGAAAATATGGTAATCCGCAAACATATATATGTTTTAATGTATAAAATGTATTAAAAAATCCGTAACAAGACTTTAATACCGAAAGAAATCTTTAATTTCACATTTGGGTCCACACTGCAGTCTTGTGTGTGAAAAAGTCATCCTTTTCTCTTTTCCAAGTCACACTTGTTTTTGTTCTTCTTTACCCTGAACTGATTGGATTCCTAAAGTCTATATATAAATAGGAAAGTCAGCTTTGCCTTCAGGCATCCACAGGGGTTTCTCTAAAAGACAGAAAGGTCATAGCTGTGGTCTAGTGGTTAATGCATTTGCTCAGATCTGGATGCACTTTTACTTTAGTATCCTTTTCCACCTATTCATTTCATCTCCTCTCTTCTCTAGACTTATCACAGAGTAAAGTGGCAAAATGGCTGGGGGTCAAAGAGGTCATTCCTGTCAATCAAAAGCGCTGACTCAATCACTATCTGAACTGGTGGAATAAATCAAACACACTCCCTTTATTTCAGGTCATCTCAACCATACACTCCCTCATCTCCAAACACCAGAAACCAGATGAAGTGTACTAAACGCTTGAGAAACGATTTATGGTTTGCAGTGCTGACCATTGTTTTAGCAATGCTGCCAGACATTGAGTACTTTGTCGAAGAAGGATAAATAAACCCCCATCCATCAACCTCTGCCTGGCTGGTAATGCCTGCAGCAGACAGTCTGCAGTGCCCACTATGATGCCAGCTTCCTGTGGGTTCAGTGGTGGGAAAGTGTGCCAAAAGGAACGGACCGAGAGAAGAGCAAACATTGGAAAACGAACAAGCTTCCTGCGTGCAGGCAAAAACAACGAACACATACCGACTGAGCAAATAGTCCAAACCAGCTTGGACCTGAATGAGGGACTCGAGCCAAAGCAGTTGCAACACATTATGATACGCAAAGATGCCAAGATATAATTCTGGAAAGTTGAGATACGATGAAGTAAAGGTTAAGATAATGAAACACACAAGGAGAAAATGAAGCTCTGGGGTAAACGATGCATATCTGAAGCAATCGCTTATTTGGCATGTTATGCATTCTTTTGCAGCGCATGTGAATTTTTTTTTATATTTGTATGAAATTAGGCTGGAATATTGATGGGGAAACAATACTGGCTGCCTTCCCTGCACTCCAAAGACGGGCATGTCTGCTAGAGAGCAGAGAATAAAAAAGTGAAATTTGCTAAATATTTTCGTCTTGGCTATTTAAAGCCAAGCGGCAGGGCCAGAAGCCGGTCCACAGGATAAGATGTCGGCATTTCCACTCTTTGACATTGGCAGTTTGTGCTTCAGGTAACCTATAAATAATTTAACCTCTGTCGCCTTTGCTTTCGATCCATCTCTGCTTCTCCTCTCTCTTTCTCTCTCTCAGAGTCACGCAAACAAAATAAGCACCACTGGCTATGTTTTCATCCACCATCCTCCATATTTTAATGTGTAATGGAAATGATTGATGGTTCACATCAATTTTGAAAATGCTCATAAAACATTCTGTGCACCACTGAGTACGATAAACTTACATAAACTACAATAAAAATTTGCTGAATAAATTCCAGAATCCGCAACAAGAAAGGGCACGTGAATTTGGCCCTGTTTACACTGTCCGGTCTTGATGCCCAATTCCGATCTGTTGCTTATATCTGATTTTTTTCAGCTTGTTTGTTTAATTGTGACCCATATCTGATTAATGTGTTTACACAGTTGCAATACAATTTACGATGTCGCGCATGCGTAAAGGCCGGGTTCTAGCATCTGCGCCACACTAGCCATGATGGAAGAAATGGTCTTGCTTTTAGCTCTGTGAAATTTGCGAAGTTCGCTCAACTTTAAAATGATTTTGAGGCGGAGGAGGAGGAGGGAAAGCACCATCATCGCTGCTTGCGCCTATGGTTTATTCATGGCACGAGAGAGATCTTAGGTCTGGTGGGAGCAAATTGTGGTAACTGACCACTTTCCTCCTCCATGTTTCGTCTGTTGTTGTTGTTGTTTACCGCGTCAGCGTCTCCACACTCGGCACAAGCCGGTATAAAATTCTGACGGTATGATACCCTTGGATAAAAATATAAGTGTTTCACGATTTCACAGTATTGTGATTACTGCACTAAAATATATTATTTTTAAATGTCTGCATAAAAAACAACAACTTTTTTTCCCCTTTAAACACTATTTATTTTTGAGGATTTATAATATTTTGATGATTCTGCCGTCTTCATTAGTTTCCAAAACACAGATTTCTTTACAGTTAAAATTGGCATCTTTAGATATCTTTTCTGTCAGATATACTGTTGTCCTAAAAAATCTTACACATATCCTAGGAACGGTATTGCAGAAAATGTCGGTGGTTTTAAAACCGTGACTTATCCAAACCGCGGAATACCTTGAAAACGGTTATCGTCCCATGCCTACTCCACACACTCTTTTCCTTCTACGTTAATAATTAAACCGCGGAAAAGCACAACATTGTCGAAAGTTTAATGACATACAATACGAAATGCCTCAATAAATCCGATACATAATAGTTGTATTATGACATATCCGATTTATGTCTGATTTATTTCCACACATGGAGGAGTGAAATTCTTAATTTGGCCACAACTTTCTCTGTGTTTCAGCAAATTGAATGATTTTTAGTGACAAATTGAATTTTGACGCATAAGCAATTCCATGCAAATGTCAACCTTGCCATTAAAACAATTAAGTTTTCACCAAAATATGGAAACTGTTTATACGTTTTTTTTTTGTCTAAGCAAGTATTTTACAGTATTTAAAAAATACTCAAAAATGTATCAACTGTTTTCAAACTGTTATATTCAATTGACCAAAGTTAAACAAGTGGCAATTTCACATCTGTCACATGCCGTTTAAAGAGTCCCGTTATTCATCAATGAACTGCCAACTTATCCATCATATGTTTTACGAAGTGGATGCCCTTCCTGCTGCAACCCAGTACTGGGAATCATCCATACACACTCATTCACACACTTAATTCTTGCATTTTTATAAGCCAATTTAGCTTATTCAATTCGAAAAGAGCATGTCTTTAGACCAAACCTGAGAGGAGGAGGAAACATACGCCAACACAGGGAGAACATGCAAACTCCACACACAAATGCCAACTAAACCACCCGGGACTCAAACCAGCGACCTTCTTGCTGTGAGGCGACAGTGCTAACCACTAAGCCACTATGTCCCCTATTATTATTATTATTATTATTGTTATTATTATTCATTCATTCATTAATTTTCTTGTCGGCTTAATACCTTTATTAATCCGGAGTCACCACAGCGGAATGAACCGCCAACTTATCCAGCACGTTTTTATGCAGCGGATGCCCTTCCAGCCGCAACCCATCTCTGGGAAACATTCACACACACACACACAGTCATACACTAAGGACAATTTAGCCAACCCAATTCACCTGTACCGCATGTCTTTGGACTGTGGGGGGAAACTGGAGCACCCGGAGGAAACCCACGCAAATGCAGAAAGAAAATGCAAAGTCCCCACAGAAACGTCAACTGAGCCGAGGCTAGAACCAGCGACCCAGCGACCTTCTTGCTGTGAGGCGACAGCACCACTGCATCGCCTAATATTATTATTATTATTATTATTATTATTATTATTATTATTATTATTATTATTATCATCATGCCTCTGAATGCCAGTTATGACAGTTAATTGTGTTTCGTCATCATTTTATGAAGCGGACGTCATTTATTATATAAGGAAAAAGCCCCACACTGACTTCTCCTACAGTAACAAACTCCCTTTTCTGTTTGATATTTGGCGCCAGTATATATTTTGTTCTATTTGGCTTATTGGATGGAACCACTGCTTTATTCAAAAATATTTTATGCAATATTCCAGTTGAATTTGCATCTTTGGATGGAAACATATCTAAAAATAAATAAAGAATAAGGCTATTGGAAATAAAACGCAGAGCCTGTACAGAATAAAAGACAGCGAGTGCAGCAGTGTGGAAGGAAGGATTTGAACTGG